TAAGATACAGTATTCCAAATAATACCGTTTTGTAGTACTCGTGGAGCTTTATCATATCTGATTTAGTTGGTTCGAAAATATAGATTCTGAAAGAAATTATGGCAGGGCCCGCGAAGGTCCGGCAAACGCTCGGATTACAAGTATGGTTTTCCGCATTTATTATCTAGTTTCAGCCGATTTACGTCGGGAAAAAATTGACGGAAAACGCACAAAAATCGATAACAAAACCGAAGCATGATAATCTGTTTAGGTTACGGTAGTTGTCGTTGGGACCTTCTTCCACGGCCAACGGTGTTTCTCTTCGTCAGCTCCAATTTTTTGTGCCCAAAATGTTAATTTTACTTCAAAGGAGGCGAGACAGCAAAAATTAAGGGGGACAGTTCGGGGGACGAAATCGCGCCGCGCTTATGTAGACCATCGGTCGTCAGGCGCCTTCGCGCCCCCGTAGCTCAGCCGGTAGCGGTGCTGTACCCCTGTCATGAGTTCAACCCCTCATGGGGGTTCTCTATGCAAAATATCAAGAAAACTTTTTTTGGTGCCTGGCCTCCTTTAAAATGTTCAAAAAAACTATTTTTGTTATACAATGTTATAAAACCCAAAAAACAAAACTTTTAAAAAATCTAGACACAAGAGACATGCACAAAAACGATCACAAAACCAAAGAACTTCGGATAGATAGAGAACCGCAAGGATAGAAGAGGAAAAAGACAGTGATCACACTAGCTATAAATGTTCTGAAAAACAACAACACCACGGTAGGGGGTTAGAGAAAAGCCCAAAGAATATGTATATAAATAGGCTCCACCCACCAAGAAGGTTGTGTCCACTGACGTCTTTACACATCGAGATACCTGAAGAGAAGAGGGGTGATAAAAATGACAAAAAATAAAGGGAAATGAATAAAAAAGACCTAAAAAATTCAGTAAGATTCTAGAAAAGAAGAGACTTGTTAAAACAAGAAACAAGGGGAATTTCGTGATTTCAGGAAAAAGGCAAATTTTCAAAAAACTCAGAAAAAATCATCAGCATGCACATAAAATAACATACAGGGCCTAGAAAATTCTTAAGAGTAAACGTTAGGCCAGCGATTGAGACGTCAGACTTACCACACCCGATTTTGATGAGTCCGTTCTGTTGAATGAACACAGTGTTGCACGTCAGATTTCCATGAATTATCGGCGGATCCGATGAGTGGAGATAGTTGAGGGCTGATAGGATTTGGGTCGTCCACTTTTTCCACGCCTGAAAGATTTCTGTGGTTTTGAAGAATTCAGAATATAAGAAACAGGACTTTTTGAACATTTTGGTATTTCTGATTTTCAGATTTTCAGACGTAAAATTTTAAAAGGTTCTTACCTTGATACTCAACGGTGATCCAGCTTTTCGTGTTCGTTGCAGAAATGCCGACATTGAACCAGACGACATGTACTCGGTGATGAATATTATCTGAAACAAAAATTAAATACTTTACTTCCAAATTTTCAAGTTCTGGATTTTCGAAAATTAAAAATTCCCAACTTTTATTTGTTTTTCTCGTAACCATTCTCATCGTCATCCTCATACTCGAAAACCTATTTCTCCTAATTTTCCCCTCAAAACACGGACATATAACCCAGTTGCACATTATTCAGAATGGGTGCCCCGGTGGCCGAGGGGTCTAAGGCGTGAGACTTATGATCTCATTCGGGAAACCGATCGCGGGTTCGAATCCCGTCCGGGGCAATAACCTTTTTTGTTTTTTTTTGTTTCGATTTTTAGGTTATCAGTGAACCGTTTTCAACATAAAAGATCGATCATTTGAGAAAATTTGTATTTTTTCTTGCAATTCGGCTGACAAAACTATATTTTTAGAGTAAAAATATACTAGGAAACAACAATTTTTAGAAAAACAATTAGGGAGCTTGCATTTCGGAGAAATGCTATAATTTCCAAAGTTCTCTCGTGTATAGTTTTTAGCAGGTCTTTGAAATAGCTGGTAGTTTTTCTGGTCTAAAAAAACGAATTCGAATTTTCAAAATTCCAAATTTCTGGAATTTTTTTTCAAATGTTTATTATTTCCCCTCATAACCATTCTCATCGTCATCCTCATACTCGAAAACCTATTTCTCCTAATTTTCCCCTCAAAACGCGGACATATAACCCAGTTGCACATTATTCAGAATGGGTGCCCCGGTGGCCGAGTGGTCTAAGGCGTGAGACTTATGATCTCATTCGGGTAACCGATCGCGGGTTCGAATCCCGTCCGGGGCAATAACCTTTTTTGTTTTTTTTTGTTTCGATTTTTAGGTTATCAGTGAACCGTTTTCAACATAAAAGATCGATCATTTGAGAAAATTTGTATTTTTTTTTTCGCGGGTTCGAATCCCGTTCGGGGCAATAACCTTTTTTTAATTTTTTAAAGATGTATATCAATCTTTGTTGTTTTTAAGTCACATTTTTTAGCTTTTCAAACACTCACCCTGGGTTTTTCCGACTTCGAATCGGTCCAATATTTATGAAATTTGACTAGATTCGTGTGTACCAACTGCGTCAGATTGTCAAACACGGCGTTAATCTTTTCCTCCTGGGCACGAAAATTCTTTCGTTCCGAGAATTGTACCTCGTTCCAGACGACTTCGTTGCCTGGAAATTTTCAGTTTTAGGATTTATCTCTTGTTTAATATCTAGCTTTTTTTGAGCAAAACTTGAGTTCCAAAAAATTAGATTTTTCAAATTTCCAAAACGACTCACCAGTTTCATTATCCATTGCCAAATATGCGACATCTATACCGGGAACATCTCTCTGTTTCACCTGCTCTCTCCGTTTCGACCATCGTTTGTCTGGCGACTCTTCTAGGATCTGAAAACATTGGAAATTCTTGATTTTCTTGATAGGAAATAACAAGAAAGTTCAATTTTTGAATTTTTATAGAATTCTTGGAATCTCAGGATACTTTTTGCAACTTCCAGATTTTCAATTTTTTAAAATTTCCGAAAAAAAAATGCTCACTTCTTCAGCTCCATCCGCATCCGAATCACTTGCCACGTCATCACCAGGCGGTGCCGATTTCCCAGCAGCCGCTCTATCTTCGCCTGAACTGACCATCTTTTCTCTGGATTCGTTTTCTCAAATTCCGAGAAGAAAAGGAGAGGGCGACGGGGAGATCAATTGGACAATTCTGAAAACTGTTTCGATTTTTTCTACTATTCTAGTATACCTGTCATTTTACAGTACTTCTTTTTTCAGTATCTGTGACGCTCTCTGTATATTTTTTGTTTCCTCAATCAAACATGAATCACATGAGCCGCCGACCATATGATCAGTGTTCGATCATGTCAACATTTCAAAGTGCCAACTTTTTGAGAAATTCCAAAAAAACTGACTCACCGTCACAGACAAAAAGAATCCAGTGACCTACGGGGCTCCAGTTTGTCCGCCGGGGTTTAAGAGAGAATTTACTCTCTTAGCGTTTTCGGCGACAAATTTTCTTCTTGGATTCTCTCGTTTCTTTCCAATCGACCCCGATATAATTCTGAAAATTCTATAAATTCGAAAAATATGAAGGTCAAAATTTGGAAAATTAAGAAATCGGTGGCCTAGAAAATTCGAATTTCATAACAAAAAAAATCAACTGTTTCTATGAAAAAAAAGAGAGAGAGAGAGAGTGACTCTTCAGGCAATAAATCAGAAGGTCAAAATGAGTTTTGGAACTCTCACAGACCGAAAAAAAAATAAAAAGAGCGCGAAAAGTCGACAGGGGGAAGACAAAAATTCCAAACAAAAGACCATATGACAATATACGTTTTTACCCTTCTCTCTCTCTCTTTCTCGGGAGGGTTTTTCACTTCTCACGGGACCTCATCCCCGTGTTGAAAATAGTATGGCTCTTTAATGGAGACGCAGATGAGTCAGTGTCCCGACCCCCGGGAAGAGTGACGAGAGTGAGAGAGAATTAGAGAAGCAGACAGAAAAATGACAGTCAGTTGATAGGCGATGATCAGCTGGGTGAGAAACTAGAAGAACTCGAAGGACAGTTTCTAAAAAAAATGGTTTTTCGTGCACACTTGATTTTTGGCAGTAAAGCGATTATCCTCAAAAAAGTTGTATTTTATGTATGCATGTGTTATCTCGTCTCTGTATGTCGTATATAAAAATCGACACGGCATGTATGATGATGATACGGGGCAAATGGGGAGAAGAGGGAAATAGGAGGAGACAAGTTTTGTTGCAATAAAAAACCATTATTTGATTGAACAGCTTTCATAAAAATTTCCACTAAAAACGAGGATGGAAACTGAACTTTTTCGATTGAAAACTGTGGAAATTCTGTGAAAAATGAGACCCCGCAAATTCCGGAGAAAAAACTCCGGAGAAAAGTGGGCGGAGTCAGGGGCGGAGCATAAATTGCAACCCTGGCACGGTTTTGCCGCACGGTTTTTTAGC